TATCGATATTTGCTACTAACTGTAAGTGTGAGTTCATTAATGTCGACCTCGTCATTTCCGATTAACAATAGATATATCGACTTGCCAAACTCTGATCGTATGTCTGACAGTTTCGACAGATCACTGACCAAGAATTTATGTTCTGTTAGGTATACGTGCCCATCACGTGGACCACTATGCAGTGGATTCAGTTTAACAATCGATATCCTTCATCAAAAAGGACCTTGTTAAACATAAATATACTTGCAATTGTTGTTATTGGCTGAGTAATCTTTACGGCGTACTGATGGGATCCAATGTTTATTTTAATAATAAAATTTAAAGTGAAACTGTTCGACTTCTGCAAATTTTGCAACTTTGTAGTCAAAATTTGAATATTACTGACTGTTTATTTAATAAAATGCTTTAGAAAAAAAAATGACGAGGTAGCGTAAAAAGGATTCTAGAACTGTTCATTTTGCGCCGCAGGCGCAAACTTTTTGAAATATTATGTATTCGTGCAAATGAGCAAGCCGACGGCTCATCTTGAAATATCGAAACGAAAAGTTACACTGGCAGCAGGATCCTTTTACGTGAAATAGACGAACTATTTATCAGCACTCCTCTACTTGCGAGACTTGTACGTGTCAGTAACGAATAAGCGATTCTTTTTTGAGTAGCTACAAAAACACCCGATCCAGTAATTATGAAAGGTGGATCCTTTATATGAGAAAATGATTATCAAGCTCAAACGGATACTGTTTCGCGATGTAATAAAATAACACAAGTCTTTTGTAGGTATGAGTAAAAACCTACAATTTAATATTGCGCACCTTACATTCTATTTAAACTAAGGAATAAATCACGAATTATCTACCTCTCCACCTTTTCTCACTAGATATGAGTGCTTCTACAGCAGATCATTATTTAACGTCAGAATACACTAATACATAGCATTTCCTTCCCTCTTGCGAATGTGTAAATGAAATGTAATGTGCGTTATATATTTGCACTTTCAATTTTTCGCAGGGCATGATATCTGCAGATACATACATTTATTGTCTTTATTGGCGAAAAGATTGACGGACATTTACCTACACATACTAGGGTCAATTGAAAAGTCCCCGGCCTGACACATAGATGGCGGCACCAGAACTAAATCCATATGATTTTCAGTTAGTCCTAACCTTCAAAAGAAGCGTCTATAAATTTGACGGCTGTCGGATCATTAGTTTGTGAATTATAGCATTTTTAGTGAAGCAACTTTTGTTATTGTGAAAAAAATGGATAAAAAGGAATTTCGCGTGTTGATAAAATATTGCTTTTTGAAGGGAAAAAATACAGTTGAAGCAAAAACTTGGCTTGATAACGAATTTCCGGACACTGCCCCAGGAAAATCAACCATCAAGGATTGGTATGCTAAGTTTAGACGTGGTGAAATGAGCACCGAAGACGGTGAACGCAGTGGACGCCCAAAAGAGGCTGTTACGGACGAAAACATTAAAAAAATCCACAAAATGATTTTGAATGATCGTAAATTGAAATTGAATGAAATAGCAGACACTCTACAGATATCAACGGAACGTATACATCACATCATTCACGAATATTTGGGTATGAGAAAGCTCTGTGCAAAGTGGGTGCCGCGCGAGCTCACTTTTGACCAAAAACAACGACGAGTTGATGATTCAGAGCAGTGTTTGAAGATGATCACGCGTAATAAACCCGAGTTTTTGCGTCGATATGTGACAATGGATGAAACATGGCTCCATCATTTCACTCCGATGTCCAATCGACAGTCATCGGAGTGGACTGCACACGATGAACCCGCTCCAAAGGGTGCAAAAACGCAACAGTCGGCTGGCAAGGTTATGGCGTCTGTATTTTGGGATGCGCGTGGAATAATTTTCATTGACTACCTTGAAAAAGGAAGGACCATCAACAGCGACTATTACATAGCGTTATTGGACCGTTTGAAGGACGAAATCGCCGAGAAACGACCGCATTTGCAGAAAAAGAAAGTCCTGCTTCACCAAGACAATGCACCGTCTCACAAGTCAGTGAAAACGATGGCCAAAATTCATGAATTGGGCTTCGAATTGCTTCCGCATCCACCGTATTCTCCAGATCTGGCCCCCAGCGACTACTTCCTGTTCTCAGATCTCAAAAGAATGCTCGTTGGGAAAAAATTTTCGTCGAATGAAGAGGTGATCGCCGAAACTGAGGCCTATTTTGAAGCAAAGGACAAATCGTACTACAAAAATGGTATCGAAAAGTTGGAGGATCGCTATAATCAGTGTATCATCCTTGAAGGGAATTATGTTGAATAAAAAAAACGAATTTTGCAAAAAAAATGTGTTTTACTATTTTAGGCCGGGGACTTTTCAATTGACCTGTTACAATATATAATAAGCCGTAAACTACGTACGTTTATGTCGTAACGTATATAATTAATAGTTAGTCAACTGTCAATAACGATTTTACCTACAAATCGCCAATCAGTTAGTTCAACTATATGAATCGTTAAATCCGTTTAATAACAAATTAACGAAAGGCCAAACGGCAAAATTAATTCTTCCAATAAAATAACAGCAAAGTTGGAGTTTTAAATATACAATAAACACAGTCAATAATTTAATGAAGGGTAGGCTTTAATAACTTGCGACCTAGCGAGGCAGAGCGGGGGTAGAAAACGCGTCAGCCCGATGTGGGGAAAGTGCGGAAATCATCCATATTTGAAAAATTAAAAATCAATTTTATTTCAGTTAAGAAAAACTTCAGCCCCTTGTAAAGAATTTAAATTGAAGAAAAAAATATTTCTTATATTATAGTGCAAAAGAATTTAATTAAATCCCTCATTTTATGGAATAAAGTCAAAAATCGTTTTTATTTCTCAAAAATAGGAAATTTCTGCACCTCAAACCTTCCCCTAAGGGGGGAACTTTTCCTACAAATTGCTCCTCTTCTAAACATACTAATTCATAATCATCATAAGGTCGTCGTAAGACTGATTGGACACGCACCTCCACTCTTTCCTATCCTGAGCTAATCTTTCCCTAAAACTAAAACATCCGACATCCTTAACTATTTGCGAACAGTAATCTAATCTAAGTCCACCTCTACTCCTCTTAACTCCTGTTTCTGTCTCTAATATATCTCTAACTAGCCCTTCATGCCTGAGAAAGTGTCCTACCAACATATCTCGCTTATTTCTTATTGACTTCCGTAGAGTCCTCTGTTCACCTATTCTTTCTAATTTTTCAGTTAAACAACTAAATGCTTTTAAAAATTGGGTTTTATTTTCAATGTTATATTATATTGCAACATAAAAATAATAACTTTTCTAACATCGCTAATTTCTTTGCATCCCAGTATAACATAATAGATATGCATCCTCAAAACTAGTCATTTTTCTGATAAAAATCCAATACGAATTTTCATATAATGCCTAACCTTTCACAGGTTGTTTATTTTATAAACGTAGCAAAGTTACTTAGACCTACATTAACCGCAAAAACGCATTGTCCGCTAAAATAGCGACAGAATTCGTTTTGCGACTACGAATCGACACTATGCCGGTGCTGGTAGTGAGCGATTAATTTACAAAATTAAGCTGTGTGTGTGTTCGAAAGATAAATTTTGTTTTGAACATTCCAGTTAAATAAATAGATATATTTTATAAACAGTTTTCGTAACAAAGGCCCGTCAGGGTGATTCGTTTGTGATAGGTAGATATGTGTTTATTTCCATACGTAGGAAATGTTTGGGTCCAAGAGGAAAGCTGAGCTGATAAAAGTGCTTTTAATGCACTGTAAAGAATTTTCCTGGCAAGGAGAATATGCAGCGAAAAATGCCATTGTATTTTCCCTCTAAACATGAAAACATGGGAAAGCGTTAAAACGGTTCGCTTGACATGGTTATGTACGTTCATTCGCGGTATTGCTGTAAAAAAAAAAGTAGAAATCGGAAGAGTTCTATATTTTGAAAAGAGAAATAGTTTTCTGTACCCACTACTAGAAATTAATAACCCCGTACGTTTTAACCGGCTTTCATCAATTCGCATAACCATCCGTGTCACTTTTTTACTCATTCGCTTATATCAAAGGTACTCTCATTTTGAATAGCTTGCTAGATCACCGTTGTGAAGTTAACATCCATTTCCTGGAACTATAAATTAAAAAGTCCTGGGTCACAAAGAATTGCACCTACATGACGTTTAGTCGCTTTGGTCACCTTCATGCAGGGCCGGCCTTAGCCATCTATTCACCCAGGCGAATCTATAAATGTTAACACTGTTTGATGTGTTTGTTGTAATTGTTGTTGATGTTGTATGTGGCGGTATCCCGCCGAAGGCTTTTTTGGTGATATACTTCGAATTAATAGACTGCTTTTCTTTTTGCACTTTATTTACACTATTTACCTACACCAATTGTTTGATTTTGATATAAATTGATTTGTTGAAGCTGAATTGTAAAGTTGAATAATTTGGTTTTAAGTAAATTGTAATAATGTTTGAATATTAATTTGATTTGAGTTTGTTTGAATTTGAATTGTTTGTAATGAATACGTTGGTTTTAAATTGTAATTGAATATGAATGAATAATAATGAATGATTTCAACTGTGATAGGACACGCCTCTAAGTGCACCCTTCAGGTACCCAGAGAAAGTCCGGCGTGACGTAGTTGGGAACTCGGACTTTCCCAACATTTGGTACCTACCTGAAGGGTGTAATAAAGAGGCCCAAAGCTGTTTACAACACAATTTCAACTTACATAGAATTACAAGAAATAGATATGATATACAGTTATATACAAAAAAAAATACAAACTAAAATAACTATAAAAAAAATATATACAAATATGAACACATCGACACCGAACAAACACGCTATGTCTAGCTTTCCTTTAGATCGATAAAAATAGGTATTCAAATTAAGTGGTTAAGTTGAGGTGACGCGCGCAGCGTGTGTGAATTATAGTACGTACTTATACAGATATTAAAATGAATTTAATAGACTCACCTGTGCACATTTCGAGGATTATGAAACTCCATATTGCCATGAGCAAAAGTCCCGGCGTCTTGTGTGAATTTGACTTCATGATGCTGCAGATAAAACACTAACAACTAGATATTATGTTAACCGAAACTTTAACAGATGATTTTGCATTCTTTTACATTTTCTTGTTTCAAGTCAGTGCACTATAAATTTTATAACGGAGATCTACAGTCACTGCAGTAAAAATGGTAAAACAACTTTGGCCTAACCTGATGTCGAATAAATTGACTTCGTTGGTGATTATCTTCTTATGATTAGTGCTCTCGCCGGTCCCCACCTGGAACAATTTTAACAACTATTATTAAAAGCTACAAACAAAAAACTAGATTGGCATGCTGATTGATTGGAAACAACAACAACAACAACAAAAAACAAAGACTTGCAACCTTAGAATATGAATGAAATGAAGTTCTGGTTCAATTTTCTATTACAGCGAGAAGTTAAATGTTTAATTAAATATCGGATTCGATTTACGACGATAAAATACCCTGCAGGTAATACATCTACACATCCTTTTATCTCTATCGAGAACAAGAAATAGCGCCAAGGTTCGACACCTAAAACAAAATTTATATACGAAGAGAAGTTGCGCGCCCCAAGCAATTCTCAGCGAAATGCAAGTTGAATTTCTCTTTCCAAATACGTTAATTCTCATTCATACCTTCATCGTTAGATGTTAAAAAAGATGTTATTAAAAACGGAACATTTTGCATTACTTTAAAACTTTAACAGATACTGTTGCCTCTGGAAGGCAACTTTAATCTAAAAATTTTTGTGTTCATTTCAATATTGAAATTAACTTTCATAAAGTAGAGGCCAACTTAATCGATTTTCGTAAGAATAGTAAACTTAACAAGGAATAAGGTAAAGCAAAATTAAAATTAGAGAAACTAAGTTTGTCGGTAATCGCTTCTTGAAAAATTAAAAAGATTAAACTGGCTACTGAATGTGATCACAGACCAACAACTTTTGTTCTGTTTGCCTTTCACATACGACTACTACGCTGCGGATTCAGTTTGACAAATCCTTAATCGAAAAGGACCTTATCAAACATTAATTTCTACAAATGGCGTTCACTCAACCGTGTGTACATTAATCATTCATTAAACGCGATCTGATCTGCCGAAGATGTCCACACGGTGTGCTAATGAGAGCCAGGTGATCGAAGTTGCGACCCACGAAACTTCTCTTTAGTATATGTTCATATTTAGGTAAATGTATGTATCTATCTATATATTTATTTCGTCAGTTAGATGTAGATACGCATTAAATACAACATTTGAGTCGAAGAAGAAGAAAAAGAATGAGTTAAAGTATAATTACCACATGTTTCTTAACTCCGTTTGTTATTTAATCAGCGTTCATTATGGCAAATCAGATAATCGCGCTCGCAATTGCTAACGACAAAATACTACGTATATCGTCGGTTACGATGGTATATAAGTAACGCCGACGTCACTACTTACGGTACATTATCGCGTTGTAGATCAAAAATATTTTGTTTCTAAACACACGCATGTTCGTAATAAACTCAAGAGCATAAATCCTAATGACGATGAATCACGACAGGAGTTCAACTAGTTCATGGTTCGGCGACAACGATGGAATCTCGATGATCGAGTTCTCGAAACGTTCTTTACCTTCTTTCTTTTCTGGAAGGGTGTTTATTTCGTTTTTCATCTCCTTCACGCACGCAACCGTTCGCTCTTCCCTTTCCAACTACATTACATGACGACCGTATTATCCACAACTTTCCAAAGAGTCTATTGCTATGCCCTTTCCTTTAAAAGCCATACAAGCATACCGCCGCCTCAAGACGAAAAATAAGGCCGAAAGGAACCGTTACTATTACATTCCTCAAAACACTCAAAAAGCCACTTACTGTACAACCATAATACATCCAACAACGGTAGGTAGATACTTTTCCTTCTCTCAAAACGTAATAGTCATAACTTCTTCATGGTTAAATTACGCTAAAGTATGACCATAAGGTTAGGTTGGGTTATGATAAGATAAGGAAAACAATTTGAAACCCGTAAGTAAAATCAACAGTACAATTCGCTCTTTGTGTTTGTATTCCTCGAAAAAACTATTGTCGCATTCTTGTACATAGCGACAAAAAAGACCCGGTTTCTAGACGGTATATACTGGATTATTCTAGAATATGGCCAGCCTCTATAAATAGTTGTCGAGCAGAAGGGAAGAGAGAACTAAGACAAAGTGTTCATGTACCGGTGAATTGATAAATAATTAATAACAAAAACGTTAATTAGACAGCAAATAGTTAAATAAGTAGTAATAGTGCGAGATGTTTAAATAAGTGACACTATTTTTATTACTAATTATACATATGTTATTGATAATATCCAATTGTTGCAGTTATTGGACAGGAACCACAATATTCCCTGACTTTTTCCCGGTTTTATCAAAAAATGTAATGTCGTTACCTATAGCTGTTAATCTCAACAAAATTCTTTTGTAATTGGTTTCCGCAATTCGAATAGAAATATTGAACGAGTTCTTCGTAATCAATTTGCAAAACATACAGTTCCTGGTGTGCTTCTGTTAGATATAACGAACGTAGGTATTAAGTCAGCGGTCATCTCGACCATTTCTCAAATATCGCAAATTCAAATTAAATCTTTAGTAATTCGACCTCTCCAGTTCCATATTTCGTCGACAGAAGAGAGAGAGACAGATCCATACACGTAGGAAGGATCTAATAACTTAATCAAATCTGTGGCGTGCTTTCGTGTCCTAGTAATTAAAACAATGGCTGCTTTCACAATAACGATTTAATCTTAACTCTATGAAGGACATTCAAAATTGATACCACAACGGCTGGAAGTAACATCCCTAATGTCTAAGTCTTCATTCAATTCACCAAAAAGTTAAACCACCTAACTTGGTAACCATCTCTTTGTCAAAAGAAGATCAAAGTTACAAATCACTAATCGAGACTGACACTTACTATCAACTTCAACGATAATCAGATTTCCTTTTAATTAGTTACTTATACATAGGTATAATCGCCGCCTTCACACACACACACCCACCCACACACACACACAAAACGGATTAGTTTTCCATTAATAAAATAAATGTGTCCGATGCATCCACCGAATTTTCTGGAATTAATTTTAATGAATAACTGTGCATACCAAATGCAATTGGATTTGGTAATTAATAGTACATACTATTTTATAGACTTACTAGTTGAACCCGTTCATATTTGAGTCATACCGGAATCTAACCCATACAGGCCTTACTAAAACGATACTCTAAACGTTAAACTTTTAAGATTAAAATATATCTACCAGAATGAACGCTAAATATAGAATTCCAGTTTAAATACGTCAAAATTATCGATTATTAATTAAAAATTGTAATTATGCCATAACATCCTGGACATGGAAAGTAGACCTAAGGAACGTAAAACTTTCTGTTTGCAAAAAATTATTTAAAACCATACTTATGAATTACTACGTAAAAACTAGAGAAGGATGGGAGGTCTTGACATATACTACCGTTGGTTACCGAGGGGGAAAGAGGGTTAAAGATTGTAAAAAATGAGTCACGTACAGTATTGGTACAGCGTTCAATGATATACTTAATAAATAAGAAACTACACAGTTTAGAATCTTGAATCTGCTCTGTGTCAATGCCTTCAATAAATTTTACTGACACAATTACAATTAGAAAATATTGCAATAGCAAATTCAAATAGCACATTTTTTCCAAATTAATATTTCAAAATGGTTTTAAATAATAATCTTGGAGCTTGGTTCCATTAAAGCTAGTCATGCTCTTTTGTACCAGAAAGCAAAAAGCAATTTTAGCTTCTGATTTATAGTATGTTGTTCAGGGAAGGAAAAAAGGGAACTAGTCAATACATAATTTATGAAGATTAAGAATGAAATAGCCACCACTTGAGAGTTCTAAAATTTCGTGGCTTGTTAATAAAAATTTCAGAGATTGGAAATGAATAAAAGGAAATTGATTTACCACGTAAAATTACATTGCATTTCTCTAACGATTAGGAAATTGGTACATTAAAATTTATAGTCTGCCTACTGTTTTTCCGACCGATCAGTCAAAATAGACTTAAGGTTTGGATAAATAAGTAAACCCTAGTTTTTTGTCTCAAAAAAACAACTTCTTCAATAAAACCCGTTTACTTTTTTGTGGTTCTTTGTTAAACAAAAATCATTATTTATGTATCTTGATACAAGCAAAGTTCATAGTTCACGACAGGATAGTTTAAATAAAATAGAAGCTCCATTTTAAATTTCGTGCGATTAATGAAACTAAATAGAAAAAGTATAAGAAGTCCTACCAGCAAAGGGGAAAATTGAAAGTCGACCCTTTAGATTGGAAAGAAAAGAAAGCCACCCTCAAATAAATGCTTTGTTTAAGATCTCTTTAATCCCCTACCTTACCCTCTCAACTAAAGTTTAATATAATTACCGGCTAACTCCATACACATCATAAAAGAAATTAAAAACCCTTTAATTATTCTCAGAATATTTTACAAAACGGAAAATAAATCATATTTAAACTACCCGTTCGTCATTTACTTTGCACTTTTATGCAACATACCTACGTTACAACTCTAAATAAATGCTGTGAACATCGACATTACGCTAATTTACAATTAGGGCTGCTTTAGAATGTACAATGCAGACATTGCTTACTTCTGGGAGTTCCCTTTTAAGGCAACGTCTTTTGTATACGCGAAACTTTAAACAAAGGCTTGCACCTCTTTGACAATAGCAAAACATCGGTAAATACACGAGAAACGGTCAAACAAAAACCGCATATGCTATTTTAATTATACGACAACATCCCACATGCCATTGGCATTTATTCAATTGAGTTAACCATTCTACAATCCAGGTTTTATTGCAATTATACCCGTAGGTGCACGAATTAATGGAAATTTTAAATATTCCTACGGAGAGAATCACAAATGTGAGAGAATAATATTTCAAAAGTAATAGTACTCTGTGAGTATTTCGTTGAAGTTTAATACTTACGATTAATAAGAATACAAGCGACGGCAAACATCAACAGCATTGTGTACCTACTACGAAAACTTTTCAAAATATTTCAGAACGTGATAGGTACCTAAGAGCAATTATATTATCATGACAATCGCACACTTTTCAAAGAACGACTTCATATTACACTAAACTTAAAAGTAGTTAAATAAACCAATTACATAAAAATCTATTCTTTATAAGCAAATAAAGTTACAATTTTGAAAAGTTAGAAAGACATCGATTACACTTTCTTATTAAAAAAACATTTATGTATGTACTTAAAGTTGCCTCTATGAATTCATTAATTCTAAGTTAATAGCAGAATTTATGTTCTAACATTTTAAAATATTTTGAAAACACCAAATCAAATAACATGCACACAAACGTATAAGTCTAAAACGATCGCTACAAAGACGAAAAACATTGTCAAGCAGAAAATTTTTATATCTGTATAAAAAAGAAATCTATAAGGAAAGACATATTTGCTGACCGGTATTCTAAATTGCCGTTATGTAGTGTGCCAAACTGGCGCAAAAGTTCCAACACTTTACTGCACCACCTGAAACGTGATTCACATAAACACGCGTTGTCGATAAGATTTCGTATTTCGGAAGGCCGTTGTGTTACCCCGGTTGATATCGACGACAGAGAGTTGTCGACTGCCTGGGTTTTGGTTTCTGTGACGCGCGCAACTTTGGAAGCGCTTGCGTTTCGACGACGATTATAATTCTTCAATTGTTGTCGAAGCGGTAATCATTTCTCAGTTTTTGGCCCCTTTGACGGGACGTATGTGACAAATCCAACCGAAAACTCCAACCAATTCATTCACCATCCATCCCACCTCCATCATAAACTAACTCACATTTCCAAAAAAAAGCCAAATGATAACACCACACGTATAATACTTTCAATAGTCAAAAATACTTTCCAGATACCAAAAACATAAAATAGAATAAAGTATAAACAATTCGAGCATATGATATATGGTAATCCATCGGAAAACTGAAAACTCCAATCAATTCATTCACTATCCATCATAAACTAACTCACATTTCCAAAAAACCTAATGGTAACATTATAACTTTCTCCTAACGTAAAAGAACATCGCGCCACACTGTCCAAAAACTTTTGCATAGGTACACACAACGTATAAATATGTGTAGAACCACAATGTAAAACATTCGGGCATACCCTGGAATAATTTTAAATATACACCACAGCGTCAGAAGATACTTCCCAGAAATCCAAAACGTAAAATAAAATAAAGTATAAACGAATGAAGCATAACATAGTGTTTGGTTTTGGATAGTTGATGATTGTTGATAGTCCATCAGGTAGAGGTCGTCCACTAGACCGCACAGGACGGGGACGCCGTAGAGTTTGTTTGTCCAGAAGCGAATAAGTTTCCTGAACTCATTAATTGAAGTACAAATACCAAAAATTCCACAAAGTTTTCAAGCAGTTTTCGCAGATGACAATTGTTGAACATTTCGCTTGCCAATATAAATACAATAGAAGTGAAAGAAATTAAAATCTATTGAACCACCCTTCAGAATAATATCTCCTTCCAGAAAAATCATCAGAAGCACCACAGATTTTCCCAAATGTTACCTCACTATCGTCCCACAATGCCGAAAAACATTTGCATAGGTACCTCCACAACACAATACTTAAAGAAGAAGATCACAATGTAATACATCACGAAGTATAATTAGATCACAAGAAAAAACGTGTCCTTCAATACTACAATACAATTTTAAAGGATTCGGAAACTTCGTCCATTCTACCAATAAGGTAATTTAACGAAACTGTTGATAAATAGTATTCCTTTTTAAATTAGCTGTTGTGTGTTTCTCAATTTTATTTTCGTTGATGTTGTTGTCAATCTTTCTGCTACATTTTCTGTATCGCAAGCATACATAGATGTATGCTAACGCTGGAATAGGTAGATCCGTGTGACATTAGAACATTGAAGAACCTATTTTGTGTGTGCAGCCGTGAAATGGAAACAGCAAGTTATATTATACAGGTGAAAAGCTATTTTGCACCTTGCGTTTAATGGATATATCTGATGTAGAACATAATTTCTACATCAATCCTCAAACACATACATGCGTTAATTTTCCCTACAATTCAACCAATTAAATTCAATTAGATTAAATACCACCAAAACCAACAACGCTGTTACTCAAATCGAAGCCAAATTAAAAAAAGTTAGCGCACATAAATTGCTAACAACAATGCACTTGAACTAAACATGTTATCCTGTAATTGAAACCGTTCAAAGGAGCCTATAATGTTTATAAACTTTAAAAGTCTGAAAGATGATAACATCACAATATTAAGATATCGTTAATCAAAAGCTGATATACCGGCGACAGAAATTATATGTAAATGGCTAATATTGAATGTACAATATTATGTATGTACCTACATATAAGAAATGATGTGTGCTACTGTTACTGTCAATCAACGAGATTGAATCATTAAAAAACATTTAGAAAAGTACAAACACGCATCGAAACAACAAATTTCCTTAAAAGGTTTTCTAAAATTACTTCACAAACAATAATCATTGTTATGTCGACAATAAAATATTAACTTACGATTAGGTATGTATTTTACAATAAAAGCAAAACAGACAGAATCGACAATCAAACTAAAATACATCACATAGAGTAATATTATGTACCGCTATTCGTTCGAAATTATGAATTTTGAAAATTAAACGCTAACTTGTAAATTTTATTAGATCCTTGATTATATTAATTTCATGTGTCGGGCTAGATAGGGTACCTGCGAAAGTAGCCTGGCCGATATGAGTGTCAAGGGTTAAGGAAAGATAGCAATCACATGAATCCGAGATGACTTACCAATCCGGAACGCAAGTAATCCAACTAGGAGGTTAGCTGTCCAACGTTGGACTATTACTGAATAGTGATTGCACCCTGAATTCTGAGGGAAGGGATTTGATAGTTCCTGCTCACAACAGAGAGTTTTAAGAGGTGGTTTTTACCCCCTAGGTAAAGAAGGTATCAGTGGATTCTGACTCCGTTTGCTGATTGAGCGTATTTTAATCCCTCGGGGCCGTGGTGGTAGGAATCACCACTTTAATCTGAGTAAGCCGGGGTCAACCCCAGGTATGACACGCTTAATTATTAATATTAAAATGGCTACTTTAAATAATCAGATTAAGTTTTTATTTATAATACAAATAATAAAGCAATATTAAATCAAACACAAATTCGGCCAGTTTTTACCTGAATTCGTACCTTAAAAGACTAATTTAAAATGTACCTACTCATAATTTCTATATTAATTTTTGAAGAGAAGTTGTGACCTCTACCTTACTAGGAAGTATTTCTAAATGTCCTTTTTCATCTTTAAAAAGGTTTGAAGGAAGAAAATCTGATTTACTTCAGTTTGCATAATAAATAAGAATATTTTTCGTGGGAGCTAAAATTTCCCGATGTTGCTTCGACAAATGAAGTCATTTTCGCTGAAAGATATCGGAGAACGATAGCATCAGTCAGAAATATATCTTGGTATTGAAATTTTGAGTCCATACAAATCTCGTGTATTCGATCACCTTTTCTTGAAAATAACTTATATCACGATAAAATTGACGCATATTACGGGTTATCACGTTAAATACACTCGTTATTATTGTAGATAGAAAAAAAGGGTCTTCAAAGGAACTTTTCTTTTAATCAACAAGTCTATATTTGAGAAACTAATAATAATTAAAACAACGATTTGATATTGCAATAATAAGTACAGTTTTCGAATGTTTGTTTAAAACCGTTGCTACATAAACTCAAAATTGTTCTCAATAATGATCCATTTTATGAGAAACAGGAAACTTATCATTTGACATATCTACCCATCAGTTCCACATCTAAAGTACTGTTTTGAACTAATTTAAACAAAATGTTAAATTTTAAACAATTCTAAACATTTTTCTCATGAAATTTAGTTTATCCGAAGTAAAAATGCTAACAAAACCCCAGTATTTTTTTACCACACACTAGAGCTGGCGACAACTAATCTGTCTAATTTGGTCCAATTTGCAATTGGTTGTCAACTTTGCGCGACAAATGACAACCAATTAAAATCGTTAAGTTACTTTATGATAACGCACTTCATTACATTCCTAATTGTAAGTATCGAACAACATGGCTTAAAGCATGGGTGCGATATTTAATTGGAACTCAGTGAACATTGATTAAAACGATTACTTGGATTTAGATTTTTGTTAGATACATAAAATTTTGTTTCCCCATTTGGCAATAAGTACCTAGATGCTATTTATTTTAATAAACAATTAAATTTTAATTGCCTCCCGTCTTTCAGTAAATACTTATTAAAATTTTCGGTAGGTCGGATTGCCTCCTAATGACAGTCGAATTGCCGTTCAAATTCATTTTAAATGCATTTTATTTAACTTGATTACGGGATGCTTCACCCAACTAGGACAACAGATAAGGCAAGGGTAGGGGTAAAGAAGTACCTATTGTTCAAAAGTTTATTACTACCCTTTCAATCTTTAATTATAACACATTTGCAATAAAAATGAGTATTGTAATTTTATGTTAAAATAGAAAAATTGACAGTAATGGCGTTTAAAGTCATTATCGAAGCAGGTATAAACGGAAACCAATTTGACCAGTATCCCGAAGGTAATTGGACCACCACAAATTTAAATTAAATATCTTCGGGAGGCTACTCGACTTCCTCCAATATTACTAACATCAGCTGTACATTGTAGTCTTGAAAAAGCCTCGCACCAAATGGAGAAACGTTGGTATCGGTTTTATAATTGATAAAAACCATGTAATCCTCATCAGGTTTTGATGTTTATACATAATCATGTGTAAACGCCTATTAATTATTATTTCCTGCAATAAAACTTTTGTCGCTGAAGGTTTTGAATTACAATGTCTCAATTGAACGTATTGCTGGGCTTGGATGCATACGTATTTATATTATTACGTTATTTCAAAAGACACCTCCTTGTAAGGTACCTCCTTGACAGTAGAAACCGAATTAGTTTTCATCTCCCATTTCCGGCCAGTGAAGAACGTGCTCTACTTCCGCATCAATACAAGTTGTAGCAGTTGCAACTAGCTGCTACTAGTAGCAACGGCTATGTGTTTAGCTCTACGCCATACACATAAAGGGCTCATTTGAATGTATAGAAACGGGAAATGCGAGAAATAAATAAATTTCGCTCCGAAGACATGCACTGCTTTCGGCTGTCGAACGTCTGAGTGCAGTCTAAGTGTATTTGAAATATTTTTCAATGCATATTGATTTGTACCACAGTCCGAGTTTGTATTCAAAGGGGTGATATATCACTACAAAACCCCATCGGAACACCTTGGGCTAGACTCCGATCCTAACATATTTGACAATATGCCGCCTTAAACCACTGTCAATATAAGAATTGAAAATAAAACTTAAAACTATTATCTAACCCATTTACTAGCTTTTCACAAACTCTAAATGTCAACGAACCATACTATTATTCCAAAATTTTAATCTTAACCCTCCTTTAATTAAATAAATTAATTAGTATCAGTTCAACCCAAGCATCCCAGTTCTTTTAACTCACTCCTGTCGCCGAAGATTCACTTTTCACCGCCTACATTTTCCTTTTAATATTCCCCAATCCCAAAAGTAAAAAAACTGGAAAAACAAAATTAATTCTCTTAACCAGAGTATAATATTTTACGTTCTCACTTTGATGAATTAATTAATTAATTGATAGTGTTAAACCAAACTGTTGAATTATAAAGAATTTAAGTTACCTGTGCGGAAAATATATTGCAAATAAATTATATTTTACCTTTTCTTTATTAATTTATTACATGTATACAAAACGTAGATATTGTGCCATTCTGTTTTTTGCTCTGTCAATATATTCAACTCGTGTTTTCACACTAACTCACATATCGCATAAGTTACGTGTGTTACGGAAGAACTGCCCCCATAATAAAAACCTATGGATCCGATTTTATCATTTCAAACGATTCATCTTTATTTATTAAAAGAGGATCGGCAGATGACATTAAATTTTCATTTTGAATTTATCAATCTGAAAGGGTGTGGACTCGCCTTCTTAAATCTTAAAATTTTACCCGTTTTTTATTCATTACATCATTTTCTTGCCTTCGTTTCGAATTGAAAACATGTTTTAAATATGTATTTAGGCTGTTGCGCTAAACAGAAAAAAAAACGCAATTATAAATAATAGAAAAATAGGAACAATTTAGAGCAGTAAAATAAGATTGTGATTTACGTACGTGTGTCTACTTCAGCTATTTTTGGGAAAAATACTTACCTTTTTTAAGTAAGAGAAAGGTATTTTTTTAATCGTTCACTAAGTTACACGTTTGTCCAAATGCATTATTTGCGAAAAAACAATGATACACATTGAATACACTATCTGATGGTACCGTAGTATATAGAACTTGAAACCATTCCCACCATATTCCAACATAAACCTTTATTAATTAATCCTGCTTAATCCTTAATATTTTTTAATAATTTTGTAATCTATACTTTAATACACGTATGTATATGCAACCAATTCTACAGGTGAAACAACAATTTAATGATTAACGCATGTTCTTAGATGTACGCAGTCAAATACACTTGATCGTACAAATTTAGACCCGTCTACTTTTTCTCCAATTGTTTTTTACCACTTCGATTACGTCAAAGTTGGTGATTTTTAATTAAAGATTCTCATTAAACCCATTAATTAAACTCCACCTTTTACATAAATATTTTAATCATCTAAATTGATGGCCTTTATGGCATTTTATGTAACTTTTGCTGTTTTTTTAGAATTCCTAACCGAAAAGTGAAATTTTCGACCTCTTTGTCTAAGGCTAATTACCGAAGGAAGAGGGAATGATAAACATACAAACAAACCTATGCTAGAACATTAGTATATGTAAATGATACGTATTTATAATGTAAAACTAGAGAATTAGATGCTCAATAAAAACTTTTTATCTAATGCTACTCGCCTTTTTTATAATTTTATCTTTATCCTTGTTAAAATAATAAATAAAGTCTGAATATTCGTTTTGAATAAAACAGTAATGATTACCCACTTTTGAAATTTTTCGTTTACGTCTCCTAGACTACCGGTCATTAGGTACTTCCCCCACATATTAGTGAAATAAGGGAAAAGGATATAACAAATATCTTCAGATCATTTTTTGGACAGAGTTTTGCCTTTTTGGGTATTTTCGCGGAGCTACCGAAAAAGAATAAGTTGTATCATTTTATATTTATGTGTCGTACGAATAAAAGAAAGGTAGCTTAATTCAGAAAATCTGGGATTCTTACGGGCCCATAATAAATAACAAAGGAATAAAGTAAACAAACGACATTAGTACAAAGTGTTTCTAGAATATTAAACGTTGAGTTATATAAACCGCCAGGGACTTTTGGCATTGCTCTTCAAGAACGTTTCTTACATAAAACATTGACGAGTCCTACCCCACGGACGGAATTAAAATTAAGAAATTACATTATTCTTAATGTGGAGGAAATACAATTATCAATTATCACATTTAGTATTCTTGAGAGAGCGGCTTGCCGCCAACTAGTCTCAAGATTGGTTACGAATTCTTATTTAAACTACGTAAAGTTGGTACATTTTTAGATGCTGGAAGCGAAACCAAGACAGTAAATTAAAACAGTTCGTATCAAAGTATCTCCCTTTTTTTTTTATCCTTTAAAAAAATACGTCTTTCTCAAAATGCTCATTACTCCTTTTCAAACGAGTTAAATACAACTATGCAACAGGGTAGGAAATTTTATTTTGCGGCCAAGGAAATGGTAAGAAATTAACTTCTAGTAAATACTAGATAAATGACAAAAAGATTAGTTTCTTTAACTAGAGACTTATCTTTGTTTTATTATGCAAAAAAATTATTATAAAATCTGTACTTAATTTATTTCACAGGGTAATCAAAACGTAAATTAAAAACCAATAAATAATCTCTTACTATTTTCACTTCCGTTGATCAATTATAAGTAATGTCATCTAGCACCTCAATCTTATGGTACCATTTCCATATTTTTATGGTAAAAGTAAAACATGGTTCATTGCATCGCATTAAAACATTGTCCCTAATTTATTTAAAAATGTTATATGGGCTACTGTAATTTTTTGAGAAAAAGAATATTCGTTATATCGTGCTATCAATGGATATATTTCATTTAAAACTACTCATAACGTTGCAAAACATTCACGGTAGTCGGCAGGGCGGATTTACTTAAGGGCTTTTTAGACTCCAGCCCAGGGCCCCGTGGATACAAAAGGCCCCCAACCTCAATTGAAAACAATAGACGATATTGTGAAGAAAAAGTGCACTTGTCTATCTAACGGAATAAGGAATTCCCTGTGGCTTGTTTTCGGTAGGTGCATTTTTTCGCGTGTGCCTCTATTACGGGGTGCTTCCGGCAGTATATCGATTTTTTTTTTCTTTTTCAGTGGTAAATTGATTTTGTTATATTAGAACTATGTTAGAATATTTTAATGTCCTATTTTTTTCATATACCGCATACCTAGGTAGGGACAACGGGGGGTGGACACTGCTCCCCCCCTGGCAAGCTCAAGGCTCTGGCGGAGTCACAAAATCGGCACAAACTTTAAAAACATAAAAACCATACACATTAAACCTGTATAAATTTACAGTTTTAAAAATCTGCACCCCCTCCCCTAGTAAAATTACTTATTGAACTGAAGTTGTTCAAGTTTTTATCGGTTTTTTATTAAATGCCCATAAAACTCTGCTAATTTATATAAGAATGTATTGGTTTTTAATCGTACTTTTTATTTATTTTTAGCCGACAATTACGAATAAATGCAAAGTAATTTCTAATTTTTTTTTATTACGATTTATAAGTAAAACTAAATTTGTATTGCAATTTAAAAATTTTTAAAAGTGTTTTAAGTCATGTGGTAACACTGATTGGCACTAAAAATCGTAGTGTGCCAGCCCTGGCGATTTCTCTCGTTAACCAATTAACCAATACCTCAAACCTCATAATTGTGCCCGTTAGAAGGGTCGTAAACTGTGATTTGTTTATTATTTTAACAATACAATTAAGACTACAAAATTTACAATTGAACAATGGATGATGCTGAATTTCAACGAAGAGCAAGGAAAAGAATAAAGGAAGTAAAGAGGAAAGCGAGACCAGGTACATAATCACTATATAACCTCAATTCCCAAAAAATTCACATTTTCTCTTCATTTTCGGCGTTTTATCGTTGAACATGGTTCCATTTTAAATAAAAAATTCACTTTTATTGTATAGAACTGAACACAAAGGATTCGTGGACACAGCAGGGTTATGTGAATAATTTTGATACTTTCTGGAACTTTATAGACAACTGTGAGAGAATAAATGAGACAGAGTGCTCACAAAGAGAATTCATATCGAAATATGAACTTCAGTATAAACCGGTAGTTATAACTGGTTGTCAAACTGAGTGGAAAGCAAATCAAAAGTGGACTTTACCAAAGTTAGCAAAAAAGTATCGTAACCAAAAATTTAAGTGTGGAGAAGATAACGAAGGTTACAGTGTAAAAATGAAAATGAAATACTACGTTTATTACATGCAGAATACTGCAGATGATAGTCCATTATATATTTTTGATAGTAATTTTGGAGAGGTGAGTTGTAAGGTATTCTTTCAAACAATATAGTAAAGTCCAGTTTCGTTAGCTATTAAAATTTGTTTTGTATAGTATGCATTTGTTTTTTATAATGCACAGTAATAAAATTCTATTACTTAATATTTAAAATTGCATTTTATGAATAAATGGTCATTATGCAATTATTGTAATGTTGTTTATTACCTTAATTAATTGAAAGTAAAGTTGTTATTTAAAAAACGTTGCTGATACATCTCAATCAGTTGCATTAGTAGAACATACAGGCTTTCAAAGCTTGATGTGGTCTCTGAAGGGTCCAAAACAAATATATGAATGGTTTTTCTAGCATAGACGTCGTAAAAAACTATTAGAAGACTACCAAGTGCCATTATATTTTCGGGATGACCTCTTTAAACACGCCGGAGAAAACCGTAGGCCTCCTTATCGATGGTTTGTTATGGGGCCTGCTCGTTCTGGAACAGGAATTCACATTGATCCTTTAGGAACAAGTGCTTGGAATGCATTAGTTGTGGGACACAAAAGGTTGCATTTTTAAAATAATTATTTACCTACCTACTCTTTATTTAGTAAAGTTTTTATGTACACTACCTGTTGTCTAATCAGTGTACTTTTTTGCAGATATGAATGTAGTCTTAAGAATGAAACTATTATATTTTTAAAATATTTAGAAGCAAAATGTTACATATCTAGAACTAATTCAAAACTTACCTAGTACAATTGTTCACACTGCTTCACCGCTCAGTTGTCTATTAAAAAATGGTCAAGTACTTCTGTATAATTAATTGAAGGTTTCGTAATTTAATACTTTTAATGATAGCAGTAATGTTTAATAATCAAATCAGCAAGTGCTTTGCAAGTGAATCATTGTACAACTTACCCATTGTTTTATTTACTCTACATCAAATCCTTTTCTAGATTACATTTTATTTTCAGCTAATGATTCATGCAAAAGAATCTGTAAATATTGCTTACTTCGATTTTATAAAAACATTTTGAATTTTAAACATTAAATGTAAAAATAATATATGTATGTTTTATTTATTTAGATGGTGTCTCTTTCCTACAAATACACCAAAAGAACTTCTAAAGGTTACTGGACTATTGGGCGGAAAACAGAGAGATGAAGCGATTACATGGTTTAGCGTTATCTACCCTCGAACAAAGGATCCGTCATGGCCCACCGAATTTAAACCTGTAGAAATACTCCAGAAACCAGGTGAAACAGTTTTTGTTCCGGGAGGATGGTGGCATGTCGTCTTAAACCTTGATACAACTATAGCTGTTACACAAAACTTTTGTAGTAGAACTAATTTTCCAGTTGTCTGGCATAAAACTGCGCGAGGTAGACCAAAATTATCACGTAAATGGCTTAAAATTCTTCACGAAAAAGAACCCAGATTAGCTCAGCTTGCAGAAAGGATCAATATAGAGCAGCCTTCAGGTGTTGCTTCTGATAGCTCGAGTAATTCATCCTCTAGTTCTAGTTCTGATACAGGATCTTCCAACTCTGAAGATGAAGACAGCGGGCAAGAATCTTTGACTGCTAAAAAAAAGAAAAGGAAGTCTGACACTGATTCTTTTCACAATAGGAAAATAATTCGTCGTGATGTAAGCGTATTATCGTTGTACATTTACATTTACTTATTAATTTGGTATGATTTTAGAGTAATGATTCTGCAATGTCTTGGAGTCAAAATCAACGCACTTCTTCCACTTCTCCTCAGGCTGCTATAATACAAACACATACCTCAAAATCGTAGAAATTTAAATACTGCCAACGTAACACCAATTAATATTTCCTATACTCCAAATTCTTAATTGAATTTCTATGTTACCCAATAACTAAGATTTTTCTTGCAATTAAATTGGGAAACTAAATCAATTGTTATTAACGTTAATTTGATAGTAAATTAATTTATTACAAATTCGATAGGATGAAACTGTCATTTGGTTCTTAATTACTTTCTAAAGAATTATCTGTTGAATTTTAAATACGAACTAATTCAGTAACTACTAAATAATTTATTTAGGCTAGATATATTTTATTAAAATTCTGCGGAAGATGTATTTTTTATTGAGTTTTACAAATATTGAGCTGCATGTGTATATTTTTGAAAAACAGTTTGTACAGATTTTGCAGAGTAATTGAGAACCAAAAAGTAAAATACAAAATAGTATTATGTACATATTAATGAGAAAAGTGATTATTACCAATTGTATACAAAACTTGTTGAATAACAGCAAGTAAAGAAAGCAATCTGCTAAATGTCTAAACATTATTAGTATATTTGTACATATATGTATTTTTTTATTTTTAACCAAATTACTTTCTTTAAAGCTACATTATTTCTTACATGTTGTTACTGAAAGTCATAATGACTGACTATAGGGGCCTTTATGATCAAACAATATTGCGACGTAAAGATAGCAAGTTTTGTATATTTCTATTATTTATTTTAGTATATGTTTCATTAAATGTAGATGGTATGCATAAAATTGTTGGATAAGTGCATAATTACATTTTTAATGTAGCCACTCCGTTCTACTCGCATTTTTATGTATGTACATCAACATGTGAGTAGATTCTCAAACATGCGAATATCTGTTCTTTATTCTTGAGGATCTGCTTGCACTTTTCAATACCTGTATTCAATAATAGGGGTCTCCTTAGTAGCAGGCCTAACTTCGAAAAAACTTTATATACCTTTGGAAATTTATAAATAAGTATAAAACACCCACTTTTTGCCAAATTAAGTCTACTACTATGAAGACTCCTATTTTTGAAAATAGGCACGCAGTAATATCAAAAGTTACTCTCATTTTGTGCATAAAAAAGTCTCACACATTACTCTTAAGAAGCAAAAAATCTGGGAGTATACCACACATTCAACTTTATGCATACCAACAAATACGTTAAAAGCAAACTAGCAAGATTGTTTTGCTGTTATTTATTTTAATATAGCCTAGTATTTGTATAATTTGCGTAAAAATTGAAAGTGTTTGAAGTTTAAGGAAATAATTATTTGTACCGTTTTATTTTTACTTTATACATTGTTTAATTAACTTATCGTTAGATAGATATTTTTTAATTCTGAAACTCATTAAATTATTTTTACCAATATTCTATAGGATAATATACTTTATTAAAATCATTATTATAATTTTTCTGTAAACGATTTTTTAGTTAGTTTTTTTATTATTTTTTTGTTATTCAGTAGATGCCAATTTAAAAAAAAAATGATTACATATCGCTCAGGTGTAATAGTATTAATTGCTTTAGTACTCTTATTTTCAAATATGTAGTGTAATAAGAGCGTATTTGTTAATGTCAATATCAAGTTGTGTGGGACAATAGGAAATGTTCGTAATTATATTATTTTTCATTTACGTTACCATCATATGTTTTCTTATTAACTACCGAATTTATGAATCGTCAGAATTTTTAAATTTTTCATGAAAACATTCAAAAGAAAATAATTTTCGTGGCTGTGTAATTAATACTTTGAATGTATAAATAACGCTTTAATAGCAAAGTGATGGTGACTTAAGACAATATAAATATTTTCTTTATATTTTAAAAAGTTTTCTA